CAATTAAATTTTTAATGTGAGTCAGTAAACAAGATGACACGGCTTTTCACCTGTGACATGTTTCGAAAGGGTTAATAGCTTGGTGTTGAGAGCAAGCAAGAGAAAGCACACCTACCACCACTACTTTGGCCACTACCTATTCCTACAAAGTCACTCTGTCCATCGCACAGTATAAAACTTTTTAAGTATATACATATTGAGTTCTTAAAGCTTATACAGTACTTTTGGTGAGGTAATAATGAATACTATAATAATATGTTATAAATAAATTGTGTGAAAGTTAAGGTTTCAGACACAGTATTTACCTCCTCTCACAAGAATAGCTTTCTCGTGCTGCCCTCTATATGCAAACTTTTTCTTTTCGCATGCCACAAGCCTTCCACTCTTCCCTATTGGAATTGCAGGATTCCAACATGTCTCTCATGTAAATTATCATGTGACTCACTCTACACTCCTCTTCTGAACTGTCACTTCTAATTTGCAGCGCTTGTGCTCAGACTTACTCTTTTGTTTGTTTAATGCTTCACATTCAACTTTGTTTCCTTACGAAGTGTTTTTTTTTGTTAAAATTAATTTGCTTTCATTTAGCCTGTTTCTTCTATTAGCATTTATCAGTTAATTCTAGTCACCTTATTTTCTGCACTCGAACTGGGTGAGCTTTTCTGTGCAATGAATTCCAAAGTTAATGTTACCATTTCAGGGGTTACAGCAACTAGCATTTTTTCTCAGGCCTTAGATGTGGGCGACTCAATGGTGGATTTATCTGCTTTTATATGCTGGGAGATCGAATGTTACATGGTACAATCTTTGTCCCCAAATATTGCCCAGACTTCTCCAGAACAGGCTGATGAAGACTTCAATCATTTTTTCCACCTCCAGATTTTGCTGTTCCTTCCCATTCCTAACCTGATGAGTCTACTAGGCCTATTGCAGTCTTTATGGATTTTATGTCTCAGATTTGTGATGTTTTATCCCTTTTCCTTATTTCTTATGCACCTTGTCCTTCCTTGTTGCATGAACAATCTTCCCAATGCTTTTTGGTTTTTTTCATCCCTCACCTAATAATAGGGTTCATGCTGATCACTTAGCATGCTGCACCCCCACAGACTTCAGATCAGTTTGCACTTTTCTACCATCATGCTGACTATCCATTTTTAGACCAGCAGTGGTTAGGTTCCTTATTGCCTATTTGGAGGGTAGTTCCCAAATCATCTGTCAGTCTTACCCATGCCTAACATCCTAGATTGCATCTTACCCTTACAATTCTGTTACGGTATCTTTTGTCCACACACCTCCTATCTGAGGGTCTCATCAGAAATCCTGAGGGGTTTTCTAGAGATACCCTTGCCCTTTTGTCCTCTTCTTTAGCCTGCATATTGTCTTCGGCTCTGGCGTTACATACGTGGTTTTTTTGTTGCTGGAACCTTATAGGTCATGATGCCATATTGGCTTAGGTGTGTTTACCCTCAACATATCTTAGGGATTTATGTATGGTCCCATTTCTGAGGTGTTACGTTTTTTATACGATCCCAGACATTCTAGAGCCTTAGATGATATCAGTCCAACAACAATTCACCTTTACAAATAATGTAGCCCATTTGTCTCAGTCAGAGCCTCATATGCCTCTAATTACCATTTCCCATCCTTCCCCTTCCCAGCTCTTCTACTCAGGGTACTTCTTCTTGTTGCTTTCCTTGACAATGAACCCCCCATCACCACCAGTACTGGTGACTACCCAGTGGGTTCGAGTCTGATGGGAGCTCGGCTGGTCGAGTTTCTTCATCATTGGCTATCAATGGTTGCTTCAGGTTCTGTAAGAAGGATTTGTTGTCCAGTTTCTTTCACCACCTACCATCTCTCATTACCCCATTTCCTTCCCTCCTCCTGAAGATCCCATAACCAGCCAGCGGCTGTCAAAACTGGTTCAGAAATTGCTCTTGCAGTGGGCCATCAAACCTGTTCCCCATCCTTCCCAGGGTTGTTGTCCCCAAGAAAACTGGGGATTAGCAGCTGGTAATCAATTTATCTTGCCTCAACCACTTTGTTTCACTACCCCAGTTCACCATGGAGTCTTTTCTCACCCCAAGATGGGCATTTTCTCTGGGGATGTGGATGACCAAAATAAATGTCTCCAACGCTTAACACATGTATCAATATCACATCAGTCTTGTCCTTATCTTTGGTTTGTCCATCTTGGGGTGGTTTATCAATTTCGGGCCCTCTCATTTAGACTTTCCTTCGTACCTTGCATATTTTGCTAAATAGTCTGAGATTTTGCTTGACATCTCCATGCTCTGTGGCTGTGATTTCATTATTACATGGATGACTGGCTTCTTCCCGCTCATTCCGAACAGGAATTGACCAATTATACTCTGCAGCTCAGGTTCGCTGGTTGATCAAATTAGAGAAGTTCTTCCTCAGACCCACTCAATATCTTATCCATTTGAGGGTTGTTTTGAAAACTCATATAAGTCAGGCCCAGCCTTCTCCTTTACAACTTCATTCAATGGAACTGTTGGTTTGATTCAACCTCTTGGCTCAGTTACTTACTGCTCGTGAGATTCTATCGCTTTTGGGGATGTGGTCATCATTGACATCACTGGTCCTCTTGGTCATGCCCATATAAGATCCCTTCAGTGGGTGCTTCATGATTGATGGAACCTTGTTCAGGATGCTTTTCACTGCTTTGGTGGTTGGACAAAGCTCATACATTGGATATGCCACCCTCCCAGGCGACCTACCCTTTCAGATTGGGATGGTAATGTGATACTCCATTCCCTTACTTTCCCTTCATTTGAACCACTTTCCTCATGTTCCATGTTTCATCTTTCCTTTAAAATATATTTCCTTCTTCTCTTAACCTGTGGACATCGATGGTCTGACTTGTTTTCGATTGATGTTTCATGTACCATTGTCACCCTACTTACCTTCTTCTTTGTCCAAGTCGTTACTTTCTCCCAAAGGCCTCAGCATCTCTGGAGGGTAGTTCATACTTTTGTCCTATTTCCCTTCCTTCCATTTCCCATCATTACCCTCGACCAGATCCGGATAGGCTTCTGTGCCCGGTTAGGGCTCTTTGATGTTATATTGCCCATACTGCTTCCTCTTGTCTTTTGGGTCGAGTGGACTATTCTTTACTACCTTCTTCCTCCTACAATTTGTTCCAGATATCCTCCCATCAAATTCTCACATTTTCCCTTGCTTCTCGTCATCGTCGTCTAATGGAGAAGATTCTGCAGTCCAGCATGTGGACCACACCCAGTATTTTCATCTCCCACTATCTCCATCATATCATGTTTTCCTCTTCATTGGGGTTTCGTCTACCACCTGTGGCCATTCTTCAGGCTTCGGTGCAACTCTGACAGGTAAGTTTTTATTCATTCTTTCTTTTCAGGGGCCTTTCTCTATTTCTTTATCCCATGGATCCAACTCTGTGGCGAGTGGTGCTTGACCAGGTATTCTTTAACTCTAAATCTGCACTGTCCCCCATGTTGACTCCCTCTTTCTAGTCTATGGATACACATGCTCACCACTGAGATAGGGTGTTCCACAAGATTGCTTGCAAGTGCATGACCTCAAGATATTTTTCTTCATAAACGTGCCCCTCCTGGACCGTACCACACATGGACTGCATGGGTGAAGCATAAGAGGATTGCTGTCCATCCCTGCCATGCCTGGAGTGAATAACTTGGTACGATCTGCTTTTCAAAATAAGGTTTCATGGTCACCCATTGCACTGTCTCAAGTGATGACATTCCTCCTGACTCTCAACTGCTTTTTCAATCTCCATTCTTCAAGTGGAGTATGGAAGTCCTTACCACTTTACAATTCCAAGTTGCTGGAGTGGTTGACCATGGAGGCACCTTCTGAATGAGTTCCACAAAATAATCATTCAGTTACTGAGTAGGGTGGTGGTGTTCTGTGGGTGTAGATGATGTGATATCCTCCTATTTGTGCTAACCAATGACAAT